AACAGCTGAAGACTCACTTGTTCAAGCTGGCTTTTGGATGAACTTCTTCACCACTCTCTCTTTATTCTGCTCTCCCCACCTACTCCACCTTCCTCAGGATCCACTGATTTCCCTCTTTCCTATTTACTCTCTCTCTTTCTTAACATTTTTAATCACAATTGTCTATTTTTGCTCATTTTAAATATATTTTTAAACATTTTCTAAATGCTTTTTTATATTTCTACATTTTTTGTTTTTGTGAAGCGCCTCGTGATTTTTATCTTGAGAGGCGCTATAGAAATGATATTTTCTTCTTCTTCTTCTTCTTCTTCTTCTTCTTCTTCTTCTTCTTCTTCTTCTTCTTCTTCCCCATTTACTTATTCTAAAGGCTCTTTGACCGTGAGGCAGGCAGGGTTACAACAAGAATCCCGGACCAGTTCTCGTATCTTCTCATGGCCACTCAGCAGCTCTGCACTCGTGTTTTTTTTTTTACGAAGGTTGATTCATTAAACTTGACAAGAACCTAAATTACTACACCTAGTTTAACGAATATAATTAATAACGGGCTGCATAAAAAGTTCTATAAAGCAGCACATTTTGCTGACCTTCATTGGGACTGACTGGTATTTACAACAAGGAGGAGGGATGCAGCAGGAGAAAAAAAAAGTTTTAAAATATACTGCTTAGGCCTCTTCCCTCGTGGTGTATGAGTCTGACCGCAACAAACCTGACAGGGCTGTCAACGGCAACAATGTTGTCGTAAGTAACAGAGCTGCCGGGCGGTGGCGTGTAGATGGACAGAGCGGTGCAGAGAGAATCGGAGATAACAGCGAGCGTGACAACTGAATTACAGCTGACGGCCCTGAGATGAGCTCTCTGCAACAGAAAAAAAATACTAGACAGACAGCGCTGCACGCGGGGGGGGGGGGGGCAGCAGATAGAGACACTGAGAGTGTGTTTTAGTGGAGTCAAAAAAGAGAAAAAGTACACAGATGCAAAGGAAGCAAGGAGGAATATGGTGAGGATGGTGAGAAGGAAGAGGATAAAACATTCCAGTGAGAGGAAAAGAGAGCAGGAAGTTATTGAGTGAAAACATTGTAAACGTGTGTAAAATGAAAAGAAAATGGAAAAAAGTGAATGAAGACAAAAAATGAGGAAACAGACCTTGCACATGTTTGGAGGCATTCTGAGTATGTTTGTTTTTTTCTGTGGTAAAAAGAAGGAAATTGTTCTACTTACATGTAGCATTGGTGAGGATAAATCTGACCGACTTGTCTTCAATGTTGCACACGTTCCGGACCGACACCTGGCAGGTGTAGGCAGCAAAGTCCTTTTGTCTTAGGTTTTTTAGCTTCAGCACCTTGGTCTCACCCTAAACGGTAGGGAAAACACACACACACACACACACGCACGCACGCACACGCACACACACACACACACACACACACACACACACACACACACACACCTTGCATTATTAAAATCACATTTTTACTATAAATCACTTCACATTTAATGAGAAAAGTACAGATCCGAAGTCACTACGCTATCATCACACAGCATTAAATCAAAAGGACCATTTCAGATGTTTGCTTAACTGGGTTGAAAATTTTTTTTTTTGAAAATCTTTTCAATTTTTGATGAGCTGCTGTTAAAAACAGGGTCAAACACAAGCTGCAATCACACACACACACACACACACACACACACACACACACACACACACACACTCACTACTGCACATATGGACTTACTTTACATCAACTGCATAATTCCAACAAGCTTGTGGACAGGACCATGTGAATAAAATGATTATCAGTCCAAACCAAAATCTAATTCTTCCTACTTAGATGCATGTAAACACAAACTGCACGCAGACCTACACTTTGCGTCTGATAGAGGAGCCAATGAGCTTTGAGTCCCCTAGCTGGTTTATTGAGCCTCATTTGGTGGCTGACTGATGCTCTGAAGAGCTGAGCAAAAGGGGGAAAGCAGGATAATGCAAGCTTTGTATTCTCAGCCTTATGGAGACGTGTGGGACCGTACATTTATAAAACGTGTCTGTGAATTTCCAAACATTCCAAGTGAAAATACCAAAAAGAAGAAAAAACAACAAATTGTCTCAAAGACATCTCACACTGAGACAGGAAGTGGTTGTTAAGGGAAACGGAGCATGTGTAATTAGGAAAAAGAAAGTTTTACTTTATTTACTCTAAGTTGACATTTTTACATTTTAATGTTACCCTAACCCTAATTTAAGTAAACTTTGAAAATTCTACAAAACACACAACCAGGGATCAGCAAATAAATAAATAAATAACATGTTTTCTGTCCAAAGCAAGGCTGTGATATAGAGTGAAAAAGGCAACCATGATGCTGAAAAGCTAAGGCATTGGTCATAAAGTGAAAACTATTTACGCCTTAAGTCTAATGGAGAATGTTTTGTAATTCCTTGTGGAAACTGTAAGGTTATGAAGTTCATGGTTTTCAACTCCATACAGCTGGCCCCTGGGCACAAGGAGAAGAGTCCGAAGGAGAAGAAGAAGCTTTACTTAATCAAAGTACTTTATTTGTGATTAAAATTATTAAGCAAAACAGATGTTGATCAACAATAATCAAGTGAATGATCTGTGAAATAAATATGTCATGAATTATGTTTAATGAAACCAGGACTACGGTGCAGACATACTGATCCTCATCTCCATAGAAATGCATGACACATTGTTCCAACCAATCAGAGCTTTCGGCTGCCGCAGGAGAATCTGGTGTTGACTTCAAGTGTCCAATCTACTTTACTGAAACTTATCAACAATTCAGAGATATAAAACAAGGCAACGCCATTTTAAGTGAGTTCCATTTTGACTTCAGTTCTATTCACCATCATCCTAAAGACAAGCGCAGCCTGGCCGGATGCGTTTTCTTTAAACTAAGAACTGTGAAACGGGAGATTTTCGTCGTTTAACAACCAGACGACGTCCTTTCAAAATAAGAGCAACTGCTGACGCTGCTGAATCGTACCGGGCCGACCCTCCAGACGGGCTTTGAAACGTTGTGATCGCTGCACCGACAGCTCCATCGTACATCCGAGGTTTCCAGACCTGGCAATTCCTGATCTACTTGGGAGACCCCACTGGGTACGTACACGGCAAAATAGCGGCTCATGTCATCACTTTATAAGCCTCGTGATATCTAGTCATAACAAAGACGACCAGATTCGATTACGTCATCCTAGAGAATCTGAACCAGACCCACACACACACACACACGCACCAACACAACATCCGAATCCATTCTCATCCATCACAGAGTAGTCCTGGTAGATTGTTTAGAATTTATAATTCAGAAATTAAAGATTCTCAAACGATCCCATCTCTCTCTCTTTTATTGTCTCAAAGTCAATACAGAGTGTTTAATTAAACTCCCTGATGATAAAAACAGCCTATTCTTCTGTTTATAAAAGTGAACTACTAACAGTGTATTAAAATACAACTTTGGTTAGTTACATCACTTTGATTCCGTTACAAAACTGTCGTGGAGAATGGTGCAAAAACAGTGAACGGATTGATTTCTGAAACATTTATTTAGTTGTTGTGGGCGAGTGAAACAGCCAGAACTTGAGGGTTTTTAGCATGAATACTAAAACCATCACATAGTCTGCACCCTTCAACATTGTTAGAGGTTTAGCCGTACAGCTTGCTTATGGTGGATGTGAAGCATGTGCTGTTTTTTATTTTTATTATTCATATCCATCACAGCAGAGATACTTGGAGGACTTAACCCTTTAGGTGCCATAGTTTTTTCAGTAAAATATGAATTTTTGATATCACTATTTCAAGAGCTTGTAGCTTAAATCTGGTTAGAGATTGAGGAATATTGTAAATTAGAAAAATCTTCAGTATGAGCCAAATTTTGTGATAGGAGCAAATTCACTCACATAATTTGCATAGTATGATGTCATCAGGTGGCAGCCATATTGGATTGCATCACATTTGCAGATTTTTTTAAAATGTTTTTGTCTTATTTTCTTAGTGTTGTTATTGTTTATGATACGTATCTACATATTCCTATGTAGACATAAATAACTATGTATGTATATATATAATATTTATTACTTTATTGGTATTTTGTTATGTTTACTGCGTATCAATCAAGAACACTGTTTTTGGTGCTTCAGTGTCATGAACACATTTCACTCATCCCTTCTTTGGTTTATTTTGTTTATAATTCTTTATTAGGGCTGTAGCGAAGCCTCGATGAAGTCGACGGCTCGATTCTAAAAATTTGTCGACGTCAGATCCGGTAGTCGACGCACCGCGCCCACTTCCCCCCTGTTTAGAGTTCATCTTTTTTGTGGTGCAGATCTCCCTTTTATTACATTTAGTGTGTTGTGGGTTTTCGGTTTAGTTTAAAATATCACCTTGAGTTTGGTTTAACCACCCAGTTTAGAGTTTGGACCTTTGGAGATCCTTATTTTGGTCCAGAACCCTGTAATCTTTGCCCAGTGAGACATCCATACTTGTATGTACTTTTGTTTTAATTCCCCACAGGCAGAATTGGTTTTATTATTCCCAACCTGTGGATGGAAAGATTTATGTTTTTTTGTAGTTGTAAATAAACCTGATCATCATTTAAACTTTTAAATCCCGTGTTATTGTCCCTTCCCTTTTTGCACACGAACCAAACTCCCCAGGAAGGGTCATAACACCACTCGCCTCACGCACATAAGTGACCAAAACAAAGCAGCATGGAGACACTCCGTCTCCAACCACCTCTCAGGCAGCAGCCTGCACTCCCAAGTTCTATATGTCACCAGAACATAACCAACCACAACACAATAAAAGCAGCGTTATACAAAATGGAAGGCCTGTAGTGTTTATTCTCTTACAGTAAGAATTTATCAATTTTTTTGAGGAATTTATTAGATTTTTTGGTTTTTATTAACTGTGCAATAGAAAAAAATCATTTGATTAATTGTCTAAATAGTCATTAGAATAGTCGACTATTCGATAAAATAATCGTCAGAATAATCGTTTTAAAAATAATCGTTTACCCCCAGCCCTATGTTTTATATATATAACTATATATACATATATAATCCTCTATCTCAGGCTTTTCCACAAGCCCCATGCAGAACTGAATGGCAATGAACGCTTTCATTTCTGGGACAGTTACATCGTACCAGTCATTATATCTGGAGCTTGATTTCAGTTCCTCTCTCTCTAAATACTGGTGAGCATATCGGTTAGTTTCAGTTGTGATGAGGGTCCAGAATTCCTCATCTAAAAAAACTGACAGAAAATCAATGTGTTCTGAATTTGACAGATCCCTGTCTCCACAGTATCCAGCTGGCTCATGAAAATGCCTGATACACTTGGAATACTGTTCCTCTTCTCCCAAACTAACCCAGCCATCATCATTATTATTGTCACTGAGGCTGTGTTGGGCCACCCCCCTGCTAGCAGTGATTTTTTTTCCCGCGGTTCCTCCCCCTCCTGCTGCATTTCCCGTGGTTTACACCCCCGGGGCTGAATCGATCAACAGCGGAGTTTTCACCGGCCCGATCACCGCCACCACAGAGCGAAGGATCAGACCCAGTACGGACACGGTGATGCGGAACATCAAACAAGGTAAGGGCCGGATGGGCTGCCGGATGGGCTGCTTGTGTAACTGCATCGTCAGACTCCCTGTTGCTGCGCGCTGAAGCCTTGCTTTCCGTCTCGTTAGAAGACCGCAGATCATCCTCAGAAAGGAAATATTCTTCCTCTGAATCCGAATCTGCCAGTACTACACGAAGAGCTTCGTCAGCACTGAACATTCCTCTCTGCATTGTTTTTTTTCCTTTACTACTCGCTCGCTCTCACTCGATCTGACTGCTCTGACAAGCCCCGCGGCTCTGCGACTGGTGGGCGGGGTTCAAGTTCTAAATACTCCATAAATTTGAAAAGTAACACACCCACAAATGCTGCTTGGACTGAAGTTACAGGTGTCTGCCACCCCGCTGTGTAACATATTAACTGCATGAGGGCTCATTTCTGCTGCTGTGGCATATTATATCCAACATTGCTGCTTGTCGCAATTCTGCGACTTTGGCGCTTTAAGGGTTAAGATGCTTTGAGGTCATCCTTTTTATAAAACTTTAATAATAAGGCTTTAAAATATGGTTTCCACCTTCCACCTCCTGCGCTCATCTTGGACTTATTCAATTTAAGGTTATTCATAGGGTGCATTTCTCTTAAGTCTAGACTTTCTGAACTGTACCCAAAATGGAAAATAAATGTGATAAATGCCAGGGTCCTCCTTGTCACCTTAGTCACATTTTTTTTTTTTTTTTTTTTTGTGCCCTGAGCTACAAGGTTTTTGGACAGGGTATTTTGCTATTATGTCAACTGTTCTTGGGGTAACTCTTCATCCTTGTCCTCTGATTGCGGTATTCGGGGATTCCTGATCGCTCACTTATATTGGACTCCACACAAAAGGATATTATTGCCTCCACATCCCTAGTAGCGAGACGTCTAATATTGTTGCATTGGAAGTCTGCTAAGTGCCCTACTGTTTCCATGTGGCTTAAAGATGTCATGTTTTTTTTAAAACTTGAAAAAATTAAATATACGTTGAGAGGTTGCACGGCCAAATTTTTTCACAAGTGGCAACCCGTTATCTCTTATTTTACTAGTCTAGAGGTATTACGTGTTTAAATGTACTTCCGTTATTGTTATATTCCGGTAATAATGCTTGTTGGGTGTGTTGATCTGGGTGGGATGGGGAGGGGGGGGGGGTCTCTCTCTCTTTGTTTTTTTTTTTTTGGTATGTTTTTGTGTTTAGTTGTCTTGTTGTTGTTATTTACCTAGAAAAATGAAGAAAGGTTAATTGTATTTTGGTAACTGCAGGTACTGTTGTTTTTCTTCTTTCAATAAAAATATTTAAAAAAGTTAAATAAAATATGATTTTACAGTAAACGTGGCATTTGAATGTAATTGTGAGACTACAGCTCCATGCAGCTGGTTCAAGTGTGTGAAGACAGGTGCCGCGTGCTGATAGGCAAGGTAGGCAAATGCTTGGGGCCCCCAGAGGGCCGAAGAACATTGAACCAAGTCGGAACCAAAACAGTAAAAATCTGTAATGTGACAGCAATGTGACCCCTTCCCCCAACACACACACACACACACACAGACGGAGAGACAGCTGCACACATCCTTGTCCACGCAGAACAACACGTCTTCTTGCCTGGGGCCCCGAGAGAGCCTTGCAGCATCACTGTGTGGAAGGTGAGGACAGAAGTGCCTGAGTGTAAACTTGACAGTGTCCTACACGTGTCCATGTGTACCTGAGTGTAAAGAGGCTCATATATGTCCACTCCATTGTCTTTGCTCTGTTCGATGGTCCGATTGCCACGTTTCCAGATGAATCGTGCGGGAGGGTTGGAGTTGACGGTGCAGCGAAGGAACACAGTCTTTTCATGGTAGAAGCCGGCTCGTATATCCCCAATGGTCTGGTGCACTGTCAGGACCGGGACGTCGAGGTCTGTGAGCACACAGCAGAAACACACACCTTTTCACAAAGCTTTGATGTTCCCGTTGTTTTGTTAGCTGTTTTACTCCTCATATAAAAACAACCAGAGCTTAATAAAAGGCCATTGTACAGAAACAGATCAAGATTTTGTCAACTTTTCTTTGTGAACTGTTTGGGGTGTCATGTCTAGAGGGGACAGGATTTAGTACCTGTGGCGCAGCGCTGACTCCTCATGTGGGGTTCACTGACTGAACTCCCCCACTGACCGAAACCGTGCAAACACACCTGTTTCTAACGAGCCCAAGTGTCTAAACAGTCTGAACTTTGCCTCTTTCCTTTCCATTCGGTGACTCCCCCACACAGGAATTTATATAAATAGATTCTTGTCATTTTTCTGTCATTTCTACACCAACCCCCTTCATATGCCTTGTTTTTCCTGTGCATTTCCTTCATGGGACTGTCGTTTCTCTTTGCCTCAAGTGGATTGGATTTCAGCTGCTGTCACGAGCATGGAGGCTGCTCTCCCCTGGTTTCTGCCATTTCTCCAAAACTCACTGCCACATCCGCTCCACATCACCATTCCTCTCTTACTCTGTCCTCTCCTCTCTCTCTTTGCCTCTCTGACAAGACAGACTTGTGTGTGTGAATTACAGATTCTTTGCAGACTAATTGGACAGTTGCAGACTTCAAAGTTTAACGCTTTTTCTGCGTTTGCTTTCTAGCTTTTTTTTTCTCCTCAGCTAGCTTTCCCCCTCTACCAAACACTGAGCACTACAGCCCTCTGGGTGAGATGCAAATATGGTGACCACATTCCTCGACACCATCAGACCTGAACAATGCAGTTTTGTGCATGAGGGAATTGCAATTATTTTTATTCATGTTGGAGATCTTTAGAAGATGAGCATACTTGATTTTAAGTGCCATAAAAGGTCACAACTGTCACAAGAGGTAGCTTGTGATCCACACAGGCCCATGCATGGACACACAACCACATTGCAGAGAGCGTAGCCTAAGCACAGCGGAGGAGCACTTCTGTGGATTGAAGGTTAGAGCTTTGGGACCAGCTGGTTCGGAAATACAGGAGGGAATGGAAGCTCACTGAGGTGGCAACAAACAAACTAGACATTACATGAGAAAACAACTTCTTTCCGAGAGGAAAACTGAGCCGCAGACTCTTGGGAATGTTTACGCTTTTGTGGAATGTGATAGAGCTAGGTACAAAAAGTTCAGCAAGCATGAAAATAATGATGGAAAATAGTAAAAACTTGACAAAGGACTGTGTGCATTTCACTGAGCTGAGATGTTTAGTTTAAATAAACTAGATATGTAATTTTTTTATAATAATAAAATGGAAGAAGAGCCAGTTGAGGTGGCTGCATCCCTTCTGGACGTCTCTCTGGTGAGGTTTTTCGGGCACGTCCAACCAGGAGAAGACCTAAAGAAAGACCCAGGACAAGCTAGAGGGACTACGTGTCTCGGCTGGCCATGAACGTCTCAGGATTCCCCTGGAGGAGCATGCCCAAGTGGCTGGAGAGAGGGAAGTCTGGGCCTATTGGCTTAGGCTGCTGCCCCTGCAACCCAACCCCAGATAAGCAGCAGAAAACTGATGGATTAGATTTATATAGCAGTTTTCAGGGCACTCAAAGTACTCCCGAAATTCATGCATTCTCACATTCACACACTGCCAGTTATGGTAAGCTACTACGTAGCCACAGCCACCCTGGGGCAGTCTGACAGAGGCGAGGCTGCCATTTAAACCATCTGCACTTCTGACCACCCCCAACACAGGCAAATTGCGTGAAATGTCTTGCCCTCTGACACAACAGCAGGGTACCCTGGCAGGAGCAGGGTTTATCCCACAATCTTCTGATCACTAGGTAACCCACTCTACCTCTTGAACTACTGCTGCCCCTTTATTCTGCTTTATGTTTAAAATAATAAATTACACAAAATGTAAAACATATCTAAGATAAAGTACATTGTGTGACACATCTATACTTCTTTGAGATTTTGTCTTTAGTGTTTTGCTTCTTTAGTGCTGTACAAATCTTCCTCTTCTTCCACGTCCCGGTAGACTCAATCACGACTAAAAAGAAAACCCACATATTAGGACAAAAGGCTCATCAAGAATCAAGACAGTGAAGCAAAACCATTTTTTATGAAAGTGTCAAGCTGTCACATATGAAATAACTCAAACGCAGAAGCAGATGACTCAAGTCACAAAAGCGAACCCAAAGTGCTGCACAGACCACACAGGGTGAGCAGCAGACCAAACATGAACGACCTTCACATAATTAAAGAGGAAGTCCTGTTCACCAGTGTGTTTTTCCTGTTTGTGAGACGAACCCCTCCTCCATAACCAGGTTACTGGTACGGAAGCCTGGAAAGGCCAAAATTCCTCAAACGTTTTTTTCCCTACTGGCTGATATGAATTAATATAATAGAATAGAGTAAATGTTATTAGTTCCACAGTGGGGACATCCTCTCATTACAGCGCACACACACTAAAGCTTGGTTTATGCTTGACGCATTCACTTTCCGCGCGGTGATGCGGCTCGCGGATGGAACGCGCTTCACAACTCGCAGCGTTTATGGTTCATGCGGCTCGTCTCTGCGGTGAGCCAATATTCTCCCAAACTGAACGGGGCAGCATGGAGCTCTACGGCATGCATCCAACACTACACCATGGTAGAAGTAGAAATTACTGTTTACAACACGGCATTTCAGCATTTTTAACAGCATCCTCGTCTTTTCCGACAGTGTGAGCTATTTCTCTCCAAGAGTTATTAACAACATGTTGATCACGGTGATCTCTGAGAGCTGAATCATACAAATGTCTGTATTTACGAACCTCTGCCATACTAGTTCTTGCCGGTCCCCCATGTTTTTCCGCGTCTGTCTGTCCGCGTGGTTAGAAATTTTCCGAGGTGCACGTTACGGAAATCTTGGGCCGTGCGGAGACGCGGTGGAGGGGCGTGGTTGTTAAAATGACGCAAAATGACGCAACTTTTCCGCGCGGAGCCGTGCGGACCTCGCAGACGCGTCAAGCATAAACCAACCTTTAGAGACACAGATTACAGGTAAAACTGATTCCAGCCATGTTTGCTTTGATAACTTCAAAAACTTCATGCTGATGACCCACATGAACATAATCCTCTGTTTAGTGGATGCAGCTACATAATGAAGTTATCTTAATATGATAGATTTTTTTCTTGGCAGGAAATAATAACTGGTAATATTATGAATGACATGATATTGCCCACCTCCAGATGGAAATTTAAAACATTTACATTAATTATAATTAAAAGTTCCTGTGTGACATTTGTGACATGTAGCTGTAACTCTTTACTGCAGACAGACAGACAGACAGACAGACAGACAGTCAGACAGTCAGACAACAGACAGATAGATAGATAGATAGATAGATAGATAGATAGATAGATAGATAGATAGATAGATAGATAGATAGATAGATAGATAGATAGATAGATAGATAGATAGATAGATAGATAGATAGCTAGATAGATAGATAGATAGATAGATAGATAGATAGATAGATAGATAGATAGATAGATAGATAGATATTTTCTTCTTCTTATGAATTGTATTCAACCATCAAATGCATGAAAAGTCTATTATGATAGCTTATGTGTAAATATACCATCTACATGTGAGCTGGTAGTGACCACTATACTGTCACGATGTAAACCAGGAGGAGGTTAGGACCCAAGATGCAGAACCAGGATGACACAAGGCAGGAGTAGTAGAAAACATAAAATACTTTATTAGGAATAATTGTCCAAAAGTAAAATCCAAAAGGGCAGGTAGCCAGAAACTGAAATCCAAAAATCCTAGTGCACAAACCTAGAGACCAAGAGACAAAGAGCTCCTTTAAAGAGCAAAACCTAGAGACTACCAAATATCTAGAGACCAAGAGAGGGAAACGAGACAATGCTGACACAAACAATGGACCGACAACACATTGAGATACAGACAGGGTTATATACACAGAGAGAAACAATCAGGGAAACAGGTGACAGGTGTGTGGGGAGTGAGATCAGAAGGGATCAGGTGAGACTAATTAACTAAGTGGGGAAAATTGACTAGGTAAAAGTATTCTACAGAGAACTAAAGATAAGTGAACTCCTAAACCTGAAAACTAGACACCAGAAGAAAAACACTAACAGGGATGGGATAACTAAATCTGAAATCACTAAGGGGAACCTGAGGGAAACCTGGGGGGAGCTGGAGACCTAAAGGGGCACAGAAACCTAAGGAGAACACCTAAGGGGAAAACCTGGAGTGGGCTGGGGAACACAAGGAGGCACATGAGGAACACAAGGAGACACATTAGGGGATCCTATAGGGCTGGAGAACACAAGGAGACACATGAGGGGGATGCAGAACATGACATATACATCAACTGTTTATGGTCACTATTTTATTTTTAACATTTGTTTAGTTAACAGTAGTTTACGGCTTGGTGAGTTTTAAACATTTGGAGATTTTAATATAATCTGATTTTTAGGAACATCATACTGAAAATCCATTTTGAAACCCCACTCAGGTTACAGTGTGTACAAAAAAATTGGATACATGCTGCATGATAAACATAGTTTGCTTGTTAATAAGAGTTTTGTTTTAATGGTGAATCAAGATTTTGTGATTGCATGTCAAAAAGCATAAGTCATACTATTCAATATTTTGTTTTATGCATTTTCTAGCTACCTAAATGAGCAATCTAAGTGCACACATCAGTAAACATCCTGAAATTTTAAATGATATCTTTGTGTACAATTGTTTTGTTGTAGCTCTTATAATGCTACCTTTTCCAGCAAGTCTCACTTTACATCCATAAGTAAATGGAGACCTAAGACGAAACTGCAAGTGCACAATACAATATGAAACTTTAATGAAGCTTCTGATTTCCCCAAAGTCCTGCATTTGAACACAGCTGAGATCAATTGCACGGCACTGCGTCTGTTACCTATAGCTTTTAATGTGCTGTTAGC